CTTAGGGGAGAGGAAATTGCTAGATATCCCTCCCTAAGTGGCCGGCCTCCCTTGTTGAAATAGAGAGAATAATTTTATCAAGAAAAACCCTTAACAAAATAAAGTTATAATTTTGAATTTATACTTCATTTCTTGTGAGTGGCAAACTTGTAATTAACACAAGTTTGGTATCCCTCACTATCCATGGCCGGCCTCCCTAAGTGTTTGGGCTAATTGCCCATTTTGTTTTAGTTGTCATACAACTTAAACATAATGGGCCTTGTGGACCAAAACACTTTTGGGCTCCTAAACCCAAAACCAACTTAGAAGTCCAATACGAATGTTTCGTATAATTAATTAACTAATTAATTAACTTTGACCATACTTCAATTAACCATTTAATTGCTTATCCATTTCATTTAATTACCTCACTTTCATCTTTACTCGGTGTACGATCCATTAGGTTCCAATTAGCGAGGCAGTGGGCGATGTTACTCTTAACTATCGATTGTGAATTTAAACCATATTTCAATTCTCCCTTAAGATTAGTGTTTGCTAATCTTTAGGGCTTCCACAAACCATGAGTGACACCTAGCAGCATGTCATGGTTACCCAAGCTAAGTAGAAGTGGTTGGAGAACCTATCCAGTTACAACTTACAATGCAATATGGTCCTTCTCTAATACAACACTCTTAATCACATTGTTGAAGTGATAGTTTGTTTCATGTCTACTATCCAATGTGATACTTCCCTATATGATTCGCTTGAATAAGATTTGGAACAAACTTCCTAAGTCATATTCATATGCTTTGGCCAAAGACTCTCGAATCATATCTTAGAGTATTCTCCTTCCACCATGGAAGGTTAGAGATCCCTTGTTGTGCATTCATATGCCTACATGACTAGATAGCTTGACCCCAACCATGCCGTGGACACTCCAAAGGAATGCCATTTGACACGATCAAAGATCAAGGACCTAACTATTAGACATCTATGATGCCTCAGGTCAAATGACTACTTTGCATATTGTAACCATCGAGTTCTTACATGACATGTATGTTTGAACTCTCTTTTGATCATAGTTCAGTGTACTCGATTACTCTTTCGAGCACCTATGTGTTTGTCTTAGTGTCCAACACTAAATGACTTGAGACTTGTCATATCCATACTTGAGTCGACATAACACATACTAACCTTAGCGGATTGTCAATGCCCAATTGGCAACCCTATGGCTAGGAACGTTTTAGGAATGAACATAAGAGAAAGGTCTCGAAAATTTAACTTACTTAGATCACTTAACTCTTAGATCAAATACATTCCTTGGATTCCCTTATTGCTTAAACACAAGATACAATAAATAGTGATTAACAATAAGCTTTGCCCTCCATTAAACATATAAAAGTTTAATACATTAAGTATTCCAAAAAGCTATTACATCAAATGAGTGGCTTTGTGGGCATACTTCCAACAGCATGATATTCTGATTAATGTAGAATATAACTTTTCTGTTCGTTCACTCTAATTTTTATTTGGTTAGTTCCCTTTTGTCATCTATAATATCTGCTCATATTCATCTGAGGCCCTAAATTAAGAGAAACGAATGAGAAGTACAACACGAACCTGAATGGACTTCTTGCTTGATGGAATGCCGCATTACCATTTGAAGTCACTTTCTTAGTTCATATAAGCACACCATTACACACACACACATATATATATATAGAGAGAGAGAAAGAGAGAGAGAGAGAGAGAGAGAGAGAGAGAGAAACGTAGCAAAATAGAATGGTAAGCAAGCACAGACCTTATGATAGTAAACAAAATTAATCCGAGATTGAAAGATTGGTGGACCTTTCTTTGAAGGAGGGAGAGGGATAAACATAAGCGCATATTTTCTACTGATTTCTGACAATTGACAGGTGCCTTCCTACTCCACAATTTAAATTTGTAAATTTGAGTGCATTTTCTACTCCATGTTTGAACAGATCAAACCCACTACACTAATTTAGGGTTTCATAAAAAGAAAGTGCGAACAATTGAACAAGAAAACCTAAAAGATAAAGATTTACATACAATGGAAGTGAGGGGACGGACCTTGACGGCAAGAGGGGAGAGAGAGAGAATGCGTTTGGATGCTGGAGAGGGAGAACTGAATTTGGCAGTCGGCGTAGTTGTAGGAGGTTATTGAGAAAGTGGGGAATTCACACTGAGTGACAATGATAAACACCACGTTTATGTTTTTCACTCACGTCTCCTTTTTTTCTTTTTCTTTCGTAGCATCTTCAATAACTTGTTTTTTATTTCCCATTTTTCCTTTTTTTTTTAAGTTGCGTCATAATATCATTTTAATGACATTTTCAGTAAAAGAATGTCATTAAAAAATTTACCAAGTGTCATGAAAGTCATATTTTGTAGTAGTGAATATGAGTTAACTCCCGTTCATCCTTTAAACCCAATTTTTGTAATTAAATTCTCAGTTTCCACTTTATTATACAGGCACTTCCCTTGACGCCCAATTGTATATTCAAGGCATTCCCCCGACACCTGACATGCAGATTTCATTGTTTTTATAATCAACCAATTTGTATACTCAAGCCCTTCACCCAACGTCTGACATATACAAGGTTCATTATTTTATATTCAAGGCAAACTTCAGCCCTTGAATATCCTCACAACTCAAACACAATTTAACTCTTTTTCTTACTTTACAAGAATGCTTATGTATATGCCATGTAACAAGGATATCAATAATCACATGCTCTATAACATCTGCAACATTGATCAAACTGTTAGTAGCCAAAATTGTATTATATCTGCAACACTAATCAAATTGTTAGCAGCCAAAATCGTATTATATTATCAATAATATATAATATGGATAACACACAACAATCTAATTGAGAATTATTACTTTACCATTTTACTCCATCTCTCTAGGTGATGTTGATGCATAAACCCATTTGAGTTCCATAGAGCAATTCTGTTAGGTAAGTTCTCATGCATTTTATGGGATTTGTCCCCCTTATTTAATAGCATTCCCAAGGGAAGTAAAAGGATAATTTTGATGGTTTGGTGGGAGTGCTCTCATAACAATGATCTCAAAATGTAAATGCATAAACAACAAAAGATTTAAGTGGTTCGCCAAATCGACTACATCCACTGGGGTTTGCTTTCATTGTATTTCACTATATTTGAGGGACTTACAAATGAAAGATGGCTTAAAGCCTTTACATAATGTAAAGTAAATGGGAAAATGAGAAAAGTGATATGGGAAGGAGATGAGGTTTTTTTATTCTTGTTTCCCCGTGTGTTGTTGTTGGTGGTGTTTCCCTTAGCTCCTCCTTTATTATAGAGAATGAATCATATCAAGGCTGCTACTTCTGGATGTTAAAGATCTTCAAACATGTCTGCACGTGCATTTCAAATCCACCCGTTCTCACATCATTGGAAGATTTGGAACAAAATTGAATAGAGAATATTATAACCAAATAATTAAGATTCCTCTTAGCCTTATGAATCAACACTCTAAACCCACAAAATATTGCCAACTAATGCACTTAGACACACGTAAATAGTCTATGGCCCTATATAGACTCACAACTCTCCAATTTTGGGGGATGAATCATCACCAATCATTAACTCCTACATTCCTAATGATTACAAACTTGCCAATTCACCCTTAAATAGACTTCCACCTCTTATTCTAGAGTGATGAATGATACCTACTCTTTACTCTCTAATGATTGTCAAAATAACACCTTACCTTCGTGAGAAAAATCAAGCCAAACTCATCATAATCCTCTTCTGCAATTCAAACTAAAAATATCTCTAATTACATATGAACATGAAATAAATACTAGCTAGTTTTTTTAACTAATTTTGTAGCAAAGGATTTTACATTGAGACTATTTTGCATATTGAAGGTAGGTTCTTGCATAAAAGAAATCTAATAAAACCATTATGTAAAAATAATTACCCACACACACACACACACACATATATATATAACTATTTTTTTTTAAATAGGGGGTATTACAAACTTCACCCACGAGTTGTCCTCCTCTTCTTTGGCTGACACGTGGCGGCAAAGTGGCTTCTGCATAGACCCACTTGCATCCGGTTTTGGAACGAGTTGAGGGAGCACCTTGCTCGACCCAGTAGTTGGTAGGAGTCCGTAAATGAAAGTCAGACTTGTCAGCCTTTATGTCCTTTCATAGGCTTTCTGTCTTTTGTTTAACTAACATTTGGCTCAGAGTAAACATTTAAGTAGGTTTGTCTCCTCTGCCCCTGGGTCTTGTGCCTAAAAGTTGTTAGAGGCGACTTCACCCCTCAATGCTCGGAAAGGGCTTCCTGGAGGAACTCAAAGGCCTGAGCCCTTCGAAGCGCTTGCCCTCACTTTTCCCATGTTCTCTAGGCCTTGACTTTCCTTTGAGCCCATGTTCCTTTGGCCTTATCGGGGTTGAAAAGAACCCTGCGTTACCAACCAATAAGATGAAAACTAAAAACAATTGTAATAATATCTTAATCGATAATGTAACTATAGGGCTTAAATGTTAATAAAATAAATATTTGAAACATCTATTGGAAAGAAAGAAGATTTACCATCTATATTCAATTGGCCACAAACTGCTCTAAAAATTGAATTATGTTACATAATAAACATAATAAATTAGTATTCATATTATCATCAACAAAAATCAATTCAAAACATCCTGCTTATAAAAGAAATATTGTTATATTATAGTTATCGTATCCATCAAAATTACTAAATATTGACTTTTCCAGCGAGACAAATATTTTTATTAGAACGACACCATCGTCGGTCTCGTGACAACTTCAAGAAACTTCCCAAGATAATTGAATTATAGTCGTTGTAGAAAACACCCTTTGCCAAGTCAACGTCGTCAAATCGGCAAAATTGACTCACGTCTAAGCCCAATTCACCAAATCGCACTAATTAATCTTATCCAACCCAGTTGACCAGTTGGGTTGGGGCCCATTTACCTGACCAATTCGAACCCGCCCCAGACAAGGTCGGACTCCCAATTGAACTGAATTCATTCTTCCATTCAATTCCCTAACTTTGAACTCTCTCTGATCGTATAGAGAGACTCCGAGAGAGATTAGAGATGTTGGGTTCGGGCAAGAATTCGATATTGCCGGTGTCGGATCCTCCGAGTGACCAGGAGAGAGAGAGACTCATTGGAGCTGACGACGATGAGAAGTTCTTCAGAGGATCCGCCATGACCAGACGTGGAGCCTACGCTGCCATCTCTTACATGGCTTGCGCAGGTAAATTACACGTTCCTCTAATTTTTCGTTTGCTGCAATTTTTGAAGCTTTTGATTCCCAGAAATTAAAGTTTCAAACTTTAAAGAAATTGAAATTATTAAAAATCTTGAAGAAAATTAAAAGCTTAAATGGGCTTGATTGTGTTGATATGAATTTGGGATTTTTCATTCCTAGTGCGTATTCTGGTAGCTAAAAGCGCTTATGACTAAGTTTGGTAGAAAAAGTTAGAAGTGTGGCTCGTAGAAGCGTTTTCTAGAGAAGCACATGTCAGATGCTTCTTTAGGAAGCACTTGGATACTTTATAAAAAATTGAATGTGTTTATAAGAAAAACACTTTTGGCATAAGCGCTTACGAGAAGCTGTATCCTAAAAGTTGCAAAAGGGGTAATAGGAGACTCCAAGGTTTGTGCTACACATCAAAAGGAATGTTGATGGTGGAAAGAGGGGTACAGGAAAAAGGTCAAGGCTAAGAAGGAAGTAAAGCCAGAAACAAGGATAGAACTAATGAAAACTGTGAAAATTATAAAATAGTGATGAAGGAGGCGAAGAAAGCAGTGAGAGAAGCAAAGCTAGTGTCTTTTGACAATACATATAAGCGTTTAGATACCAAAGAAGGAGAGTTGGAAATGTTTAAACTAGCTAGAGTAAGGAAAAGGAAGACAAGTGACTTGAACCAAATAAAGTGCATCAGAATTGAGAATTGGAAATGTTTCTAGCTACGGAGGATGTAGTTAAAGACAGATGGAGATCTTATTTTAAAAATCTTTTCAATGAAGAACACAAAAGGAGTATTTCTTTAGGGGAGTTGAGTAACTCGGGTAGAAATTACTTGTTCTGCCGCCCAATCAGGAAGGAAGAAGTGGTTGTAGCTTTGAAAATGATAAAGCATATAAAAACAACGGCCCCTGATGATGTAGCGATCGAAGTGTGGAAGGTCTTGGGAGAGACGGACACGGCTCACAAACCTTTTCAATAAAATTTGGAAAGCGATGAAGATGCCAAATGAGGGGCGAAAAAGTACTTTGGTGCCTATCTACAAGAATAAAGGCGATATACAAAATTGCATGAACTATATGGGTATTAAGCTTATGAGTCATACAATGAAGCTTTGGTAGAGAGTAATTGAGTACAGACTAAGGCAAGAGACACGGGTCTTAGACAATAAATTCGGGTTTATGCTAGGGCACTCAACTGTGGAGGCAATTTATCGCTCTTGAAGATTGATGGAACGATATAGAGATATGCAAAAGGATTTTCGCATGGTCTTTATAGATATGGAAAAATCGTATGATACGGTCGCAAGAGAAATTCTTTAGAGTATCTTAGAGAAGAAAGGAGTACGAGTAGCATATATCCAAGTACTCCTTTGTTTGATGGAGCAAGAACTACTGTAAAAACTCATGAACGACAGACCGAAAGCTTTCCCATATAGGGTTACACAATGCTCAAACTTAAGTCCTTACCTTTTTGCATTGGTAATGGATGAGTTAACGGGACATGTTCAAGATGATATCTCTTGGTGTATGCTTTTCACAGACGATATAGTGTTGATGGATGAAACTTAGGAGGGAGTAAATGCTAAGCTTAACCTTTGGTGGGAAGTGTTGGAATCTAAAGGTCGTTGCCTAAGTAGGTCAAAGACAGAGTATATGGAGTGCAAGTTTAGTGTGAGGGGGTTCCAAGATTGGAGATAAAGAAGTACCAAAGAGCGGACACTTTCGTTATCTTGGATGTATCTTGCAAAAGACCGGAGAATTGGATGGAGATCTCAACTATAGAATACAAACCTGATGGATAAAGTGGAATAGTGCATCGAGTGTTTATGCGACCATCGCATGCCACTAAAGCTCAAGAGAAAACTTTATAGGATGACAACCAACAATACTTTATGGTGCCAAATGATAGGTTGTCAACCATCAACACATGCAAAAAATAAGTGTAGCGGAGATGAGAATGCTTCGTTAGATGTGTGGGCACATGAGAAAGGACACGATTAAGAATGAGGATATCCGAGGTAAAGTAGGAGTAGTTGTCATTGAAGATAAGATGAGAGAACGGTGAAGGTGGTTTGAACATGTAAACCAAAGACCTACAGATACTCCAGTTAGAAGATGCAATTATGAGATAGAGGCTCAAGGAAAAAAGGGTAGAGGAGACCTAGGAAGACTTTGAAAGAGAATCTAAGAAAAGACATGGAGTACTTGGAGCTAACAGAAGACTTGGCTCAAACTGAGTGTAGTTGCGTTCTAGGATTCATACAACCGACCACACTTAGTGGGATAAGGCTTTGTTTTTGTTGTTGTTGCTGCTGCAGTTTACTGGTAGAAGTACTTTCTAGAGAGGCAATCCCAAATGAGTGTGAAAATTTTGAAGCCTGTTGACTTGTTAGTTAATTGTTCCCATTTTGTTTTGTAGTGCTGTTGGTGATGTTCAACAAGGCAGCTCTGTCTTCTTATAAATTTCCAAGTGCAAACGTTATCACACTCTTTCAGGTATTTTCCCAAACGTATCTTACATTAATCTTTCGTCTTTTGGTTGGAATTTATGTCTGCTGCCTGCTTTCTTGTGCTGTTCTAGTGCAAAATTCATTTCTTTCAGTAAAATTAAGGCACTGTCTAACCTCATGTTGTTGTGGGCTTTGTTTTGAATGCTTTTCGTGCGTAACTGCATGGTTTGCCCTGCATATTGAATAGCTAATGATAAATAAATAAGACATTTTCCTTTTTTATGGTTACTATTGCAGATTATATGTTCGTGTAGTTTTCTCTACACCTTGAGACGGTGGAACATGATTTCTTTCACAGTAGGTGAATCTTCGATCATTTATGACGACAACGCCACTACACTTGTACCATTAAAGACATTGAAGAAAACCCTTCCTCTTGCAGGAGCCTATTTGATGTACATGGTATGCATCTTGTAATCTAGTATTGATGGGTAACTATTAAACAGTAGCTTTCTTGTATTCGTGATTAATGTTTGCCCATTCATTTATTTCTCCTTGAAAGCTAGCCTCCATGGAGTCTGTCCGCGGGGTAAATGTTCCCATGTACACCACCCTTAGGAGGACTACTGTAGTATTTACAATGGTTATGGAGTATATTTTGGCTGGGCAGAGATATACATCTCCTATTGTTCGAAGGTAAGTATCCCTTTGTATGTAATTTATTTTGTACATGCTGATGATAATATGTATAGATCATCTGCTCTTCTAAATATACATAAAGAATTGTATAGTTTCATTTTGATTCGATGAAAGTTCTGAATGTTGATCTGTTGGCACTTTTGTTTGTGCTTGTGAATTGGTCGAGTGAGAGAGTTCTATATTAACCCATGAGCGAATGTGATGAAAAATGGTTCTACATTATGTGTTTACTTTATGGCCATCTACCCGATTTTCTCATTTAACTGAATATGTTACGGTTGTTATCAGTGTCGGTGTGATTGTTCTTGGTGCATTTGTTGCTGGATCTCGGGATTTTTCATTTGATGCCTATGGCTATGGTGTTGTTTTCTTATCCAACATCACGACAGCAGTATATCTTGCAACCATAGCCCGTATTGGTAATACTTCAACATTTTATCTTCGGAGAAATCCAATGCATTCCACTTTGCTAGGTTGACTGGTTTCTATGATATTGACTTTTAGTTTCATTTTCTCAGGGAAATCCAGTGGCCTTAATAGTTTTGGCCTCATGTGGTGTAATGGTAGTAGAAAACATCCCGACTCAACCTGTGCCCTTTCGGGTTTTTTTAACTTTTGTGCATAATTTGAATTTCATTTAATTGAATCAAGCTGTGACACAAATGGTATTGTTTCTTTATGGTAGGATTCATATGCGGACCAGTTTTGCTGTTTTTGACTTTTATTCGTGGTGACTTGAAGACAACAATCGACTTTCCTTATCTCCTTTCACCTGGTTTTATGGTACATTCTTTACCAATGCTACTCTTCTCGGCTAATGCATGCACACTTAATAGTTCACAATGGTATTTACTGAAAGAAAAGAACAAAGAACTATTTGTAAGCAGCATTTTACATCTTCCCTATGGGTTTCCGGCATTTCACAGATTCAGTCGACTTCAATTACTTGAGTACAACATGCTTTTTCTTCTTGCAGTACTTAAATACAACTTCCAAGTAACTCCTGTGGTTTTGATTGAGATCCACCGTTGTTTTCTGTTTTCTCCCTCCCTTTGGCAGGCGGTCTTGCTTTGTTCCTGTATACTGGCATTCTTCTTGAACTACAGCATATTCCTCAACACAACTCTAAATTCAGCTCTTACGCAGACAATTTGCGGTAACTTGAAGGTTTGTGTAGCCTATATTTCCGTCTCGTAGATGTATTACAACATAACTTAGCAGCCGCTGTATGAATTTCTCCCGGTGGTGTGACCATACTTTTCTGGTCACTAAACTGTTACAGGATTTTTTTACCATCGGACTTGGTTGGATGCTATTCGGTGGCCTTCGATTTGATATCGTAAGTGCAAACTATTCTCCGCTCTAACAAAATAACTTTTTCAGTATTTATTTAGAGATTTGAGTATTTCTACTGTTTCGTTTTTGGTAGTTGAATGTTATCGGTCAATTTCTCGGTTTCCTTGGCTCGGGGTTGTATGCCTACTACAAGCTCATAGGGAAGTAACATATTCAACAAATGTCTACTTCTCACACCTGAAGACGATTAGTTGCTGCCCTTGTTTGCCCCGCCAATTTTGGTTTTGTGATTGTCGGGCTCTCGGAGTGAGATGTGCAGCGTTAGGACCGGAGACATCCGCGCGGTGGTGGATTTAACTGTTAACTGGAAATGAAGCCTGCTTCTTTTCCGTGTATGTATTCTTCTATACCGATCAGTAGGTGTTAGAAACCACGGCTGCACAATTTGGCATTGCCGGCTGCTTGGCGATGTAATTTGTTTGAGCTTTGGCATTGTATACGATGAATATTCTCCTTTTTTCCCATATTTTCAGTCACATACGCTCAAATTTTGAAGCGACGGCGCGAAAAAATTTATGAAACGCAAAATGTAGTTTCGTATATACTCTTAATCATAGTTTTTTTTTTTTTTTTGGTTGGAACTATATTGTTTGTGTTTGTGCATGTGCCTGCATGTTTCTGTTTAGACAACGAATTTTCCTGTCCTTTGAAGGTTGGAAAACCAACAAAAAAAAAAAATTGGTATTTCCATGACCCTTTTAAATTTAACAGAAGCTGTTACAAGAACCAAACTCGTGTGCCTGAAATTTTGCTGTTGGCCTGCCATGTTTAAATCTGAAAAATATGAACGTCGAATAATTTTTTTAATTTTTTTGTTATTAGAAAAATATTATTCTATCCAACCTATTATTTTTAAATGGGCGTAGATATTTTTTTTTTTTTTGGTTAACACGCATATAGATTATTTGAAAGGGACATTTTGATATAAGTGCCTCATTTTTAAATGTTATAGACTAAACATCTATTCCTTCTATTAATTTGATTAAACATTTTCCCTACAATTTTGGTGCTTAATTTTATTTCATTAGAAGTCTATTCACGTTAGTATTTCCTTTTTTTCTCCTATTTTTATGCATCTCTTATTATGATGATTTAAGATTTTTTTTTATTTTTTATTAAAATATTTATTTTAGTAAATTAAATAGAATGTAACAAAACTCGTTGTTAGGTAAGTTTGGTTATATCGGTACGTTTGATTATAATGGTCGATTTGGTTACTTGGTACATTTGAATTTTTTGTCAATTTGGCTTTTTGATACATTTGAATTTTTGGTACATTTAGTTTTTGGTACATTTGAATTTTTTGTACGTTTGTTTTCGAAACATAAGTTTTATTACTTTTTGTCCTAATAATGAGGAATTACTTTAATTAATTAATATTTTTTATAGAAAGAGTCATTAAAACGTAGGAGTTTAAAGGACCGGGAAAATAAAATTTCCTAAATTGTAGGCAACTAGTTACAAGGTGAAGTGAAAATGCCTTTAAACAAATTATATGTAATTTAAAAAATAGAAAATGTTGATGTGGCAATTAGTCAAAGTCTCGTAATCAAATCTTAGAAATGAACCAATGTCTGCTCTAAAATGTATTGAAAAAATGCAGGGTTCCCTATTTGGAAATTAAGATATTGGTGTGATTCCATGTAAGGAGCAAGTATTTTGGGTATTTATTTTAATCGAATATAAAACTCATAATAATTTTAAAATGGTTACATCATCCTTTCGAACCACTTGAGCTGCCCCTAAGATCTTAATGGAGATAATTATTTGAAAATGTACTAATGCAACGATCTTTTTGTTAATAACATGGTTTTTGTTTTTGTTTTTTTTTTTTAAACATACGATATTATCTATACTAAAAAAGCGGATGTTGTAAATAATATGTTTTTGTATTCCAACTTTCAATGAAAAAAAAAACTATTTTTTGTAGAATAATTATCAATCAATTAGTTAAACTACCATCTTCTTGCCCCATTTGTGAGCGTGTGTGGTGATTTGCTTTTTACATCTTATTCTTTACTTGTACTTTTAGTTCTTTTAATTTTTTTTTTAAATGTATATATGAATGATTCACTTTTTTTGCGTTCTAGCTTTATATATCTTGGCTTTGTGTATTTTTTTTTTATTTGAATAAAAAAGTGATTTAAATTTGATTAATTAAATAAGCCAAAAATGAAACTAAGTCTGGAGTAACTGCTTCAATGTGTGTTGTTTCAAGGATTGAATGTGAGAAGGGGCATTTTGGAAATTTTAAAAACTTCATCATTTTAGGGTGTTGACTTTATATATAGAGATATACTAACTTCTAGCCACACGCTTACGTGTGTGTCAATTGACTCTTTTTTATTGTTTTACTTTTTTGTTTTTTGTTTTTATTTTACTTATCTTAGAGATTATTATTTATTATTACAACATATTTTGAAAAAGGTTAATTAATTCAAATGCTCCTGAAACTACTATTTAGTCTCAATTTATTCCTAGAACTGATTTTGTCTCATTTTGCTCCTTGAAAATGACATTTTCAACTCAGTTGGTCTCACTTCACCCCATTCCGTAAAAGAACTGTTAAATTCAGGGGTATTTTATGTCACATCTCGGCCCGAGCCCCCATCACAACCTGGGCTCGACTCCATTATAGCACGATATTGTCCGCTTTGGGCCCTGACCACGCCCTCATGGTTTTGTTTCTAGGAACTCACACTAGCAGAACTTCCCAGTGGGCCACCTATCCTGGGAATGCTCTGGCCTCTTTCTCACTTAACTTCGGAATTCCAATGGAACCCGAAGCCAGTGAGCTTCCAAAAGGCCTCGTGCTAGGTAGAGATGAGAATATACATATAAGGCTTACAAGATCCACTCCCCTGGGCGATGTGGGATGCTACATTTTAGACTTTTTACACATTGTATTTAAATCTAACCTACACACTAAACCAAGCTCAATTTCATTTTTGAGAACTCTAATTCAAACCCCATGAGTTAGGGCATTTTAAAAATAAATTATTCAATCAAAGGAAAATTTTCGAATAAACTTTTGGTTGCAAACTATGCACAATTGTTTTAGATGATTTTTTTGGGATATTGTGGATATGATCGCTTAATGGCTTTATTTTAGATTATATTTTGTGTAATTGATATGAGATTATTATTATTTTTTTTTTATGGGTGAAACTTGGTTAGATCAATTTCGATTAGAAAGATATCGTGAAATGGGCTTATCATGTTTCCTTTATGCTGTAATGAGAATTTTTAGTGTATAGGCTAAAAGTAAATAAATGTGTAAAAAATAAAATATCTTAAATACCCTTGAATTTAACAGTTGTTTAATGGAGTGGTGTTAAGTGAGATCAAAAGAGTTGAAAATGTCGTTTCAGGGGGTCAAAGTGAGATAAAACCAATTTCAAAGGTAAACTGAGATTAAATAGCAGTTTCATGAAGCATTTCAAATAATAAGCCTTTTGAATAGTAATGAACTTACTAACCACCCTATATGATTTTTATTTTTGCTTTGAAATTCTAATAGAAGAAAGACAATTTAGGTATTATGAAACTTTACCAAATTGGCGTGCCCCCTTTATTAGTTAAACTATAAAATAACTAGCTGTGTTAATTAGAGCTGGTCCTAAAAAATCAAAGGAGCGCAAAACCGCGCGTGCGTAACGACTCAAAACGTCAAACTGCCTTCCCCTTCTTTTCTCAAACCCAAAATGTTAAAAAAAAATTTAAAAAAAAAAAAAAAAAAACAAAAATTAGAGGGAAATATCTCCCTCCGTTTCTCTTTCTTCCCTCGCTTTCTCTCTCTCTGGAATTGCCTCCGACAGAAGCTCTGAAACAGCTTCCCCAAAAGCCCTAATCTCACAATGCGTGTTCTTCTTCCATAAGAATCTAATCCCTCTTTATTTATCCTTTAATTTCTTTTATTTTTACATTTTTTTGAGTGAATTTCGAGCTCCTTTTTTCGGGTATAAGGCGATGGTTGAGGGGTTTCTCCGGGAGAAATTCACAGAGCTATGTCGTATAGCACGCTGAGGATTGACGATGATGATTTTGTCCCTGTCCGGCAGCCGTCGATCGAACGGCATCGCCGCTCCAATTCTCTGCCGTTCGTGCCGTTGCTGCTCGTCGATGGCTTTTCCCGCAAGAGCTTCTCCTACTCCGCGCTTCCTCAGGAGCCACTCCGGCTCTCCGTTATGAAATTGGACGGCTCTTGCTTCGGTATACTCTCTCTTTCCTCTTGCTTCTAAATTTCTAAGGTGCATTGTTGCTGGTTGTTTGGCTGCCGAGAAAATGTTGGAAAATGGACTCAAATTTGTAATTTTTTTTCTTCTTTTGAGTTACAGTTTAATTTTAATCCTAATGGCGTAGAAATCTTCGGTGTTTAAATTTGTAATCATTTTTCTATTACGATGCCATTTCGATCTCGGCGAAGATATAGTAATTTTCATGCTGGTATTGCGTTATTAGTTTCTAATTTCATTTTGAAGGCATCTCTGTTATTGTCTTTCAAGGTTGTTAATCTCATTGCTGCGTGTTTGGTTGCTCAGAAAATTGTGGGAATGTTGGAGGTCAACCTCGTGCACATTGTTAGTTAGGTTTTTTCCGTTTTGAAAAATAATTTTGCGCACATTTCAGGGTTAATGTCTGGCTGATTTGTTTTGATTTTCATTACCTAATTCATATCTGCAGTTCTAGACATTTTCCGCAATGAAATCTACGGTTTTTTTCAATTTTCTTAGGATTTGTTTTGACTTTCTCTCTTTCTCTCGGTCTTTTTTGCCCTCCTTTTGCATTTGAAGTTATGATCTTTTTAGCTGAGAATTTACCAGGATAAAAATGTTCGTTTACTTATATTTTTGGTTGAGGATTGCAAGAATCAAGATGTTTATCTGATGAGCTGCATGAACTAAGATGTTCGCTTTCACAGATATTCAAGTTGCTATGACGGCCACGGTTTTAGAATTGAAACAGGCAGTTGAGGCCGTTTTCAGTCACATGCCACAGAAGGGACCGGGAAAAATTTCATGGTATGTTCACATCATCCATTGAAGTATTTTGGATTAGAAGCGAACTCATATAATCACATAAATTGAACTTCTTTGCATTCAGATAGTTTTATTCTTTAGACTGTATTAAACAGTTGTTCATTTTCCATGGAAACTTCCTTTTTATACTCTTGAGTTGGAAGGTTCGTTGCACTGCCGGATTCCTATGATTAACGATGTTCCTTGTTAAATTATGGATTGTGGAGGCCACACGTGTGGGGTCATTTCTGCTTGTGCTACGGTAATCAGAAGCTACTTGTTGAAACTGATCGTATCAACCATTATGGAATCAAAGATGGTGATCAGGTATGGGGCAGTTCCCTTGAGTTTTTGAAATTTTTCGTTTATCCAGTTGGCTACTATAAAGCTGGTGTGGTGTCCTTCAAACTGGTGTTGTTTGGTAAGTGCAGCTGCATTTTGTCCGGCATGTTTCAATCAGCTACAGCATGACGAAGAGGCAATCGTCAAAGAAAGGGTTCCTCGCTTTAAAACAAAACACAATGTGAGGCTCTCCCTATTGCCATTTCTCTTTTACAAGAATTTTTAGCGCAAAAACATGAAAATACCGCAGTTCCCTACGCGTATAATAAGCCCCACTTCTTAATCGCCTTTCTTAACTGGACTTTTATCTTTTCAGTCATGCTGTGTACTAATCAATTTGATAGGTGCAGGTCAATGTCGCGATCAATGAGCTTTCAAGAGGAAGGGCAGACTGACATACAGGAAGAAAGGAATGGCAAAGAGGTAGAACAGAACGACGAGGTATATTACGATTCTGATGACATCGAGAATCCAAAGTCCCCACGTTGTGATGACGAAGTTTCTGTTGAACACAATGAGAGTACGCTTCCTTTCTTATTAGGAGAATGGTTTCCATACTCCAAACTGTCAGCTGTAGGAACATCATCTCCAAGAACTTGCGCGCCAAGCATAGCTAATGGCTTACTGGTTGGGTTTAGGAAGATATTCGGGCTTTGTTTCGAAAAACGCGATAAACGGCACAGTCGAAGGGATACTTGGAGAATAGATTAGTGCATCTTCAAGAACGCTATAGTGATGGATTTCTGTTCCTTCTGGCCTAAATTGATTCGAAAATATCATAAATTTACATTTGGCCTTACACTCTACAGTCATTTGCCCACTTTTAAATCTGTTTTTCTACTTGTTCCTCCCATTCGCAACACCTGAAAATTGTAGTTGTAAAGATCTTGGTGTCTCAGTAAGTCAATGAACATGAGGGAGGGTTTTTCTTTTCGGAGCTTCATGGCGAGGGAAACTTGCACCAGAGCGATGACGCAATCTAAAAACAATCACGCATTACTGTGTTTTTATTTTTACGCACATAAATATGATTTTATTTAGAATGTTGCCACCATGACATTTCATGTTAGTTATTCTTCACAAGGACTCCAATTTTTCTTTGACTTTTTGGAATTCAAAATTTACTTGGACTAGTGTTTTTTTTTTTTTTTTGGTCAAACGATAGATTTCTTAAATTTGATGTTAGATTAGGGAGTAGATTGAATCCATGTCGTGATGCAAGAACAACGCTCATCTTCACTACTATGGTAGAGGGCCACTAGTGGCCTGGACTAGGTTTGAATACGTTTGTATCCAAGGTGCCAAATTTGTGGGCCCTCAAGTGGGACAGTAACAATCCCACTCATCATCCACTGCAAACTCCTTCCCTTCTTGAATCCGTAAGGCCATCTTCAACAAAAGGTTCCAGAGGCCCCCCGAAAACCGTCTCTAACCGAGGGCTAGTCCAAAGAGCTCGTGGGCCCCAAGGGACAAAAAAGGACTAAAGGGCCAACCGGCTGGCCCAACCCAGCCAGCAAGCCAGCTCCAAGCTGGACCGGATTTTGAATGCAACGGTAACATGCTGACATCAACTAACCATTATATTTAATTTTTTTTTTTTTTTTTTTTTTTTTGGGGCCAAATTTTTTTTTAAAAATATTTAATTATAGGTGGAGAAAGGTGATTTGTTCAATGTTGGGGTGTTCCTTTTATAGGCATGTTTGCTTGCTCAATTCCCTCCCATGACCGATGTGGGACAAATATAATGGGTACCCCATATAAGCTTCCTATTAGAGATGGTAAACGTGCATTTATACATGTAACTATCTCAAACTAAGTTATACGAGTAATTGGACACTTAAATTAAAAAATTAATTTAATATACAATTGTTAACTGCTGCAAGTAGACATGAAAGCGGTGCCAATTACTACGACGAAGTAAGTTGTTTCATAATTTATTTTAAATATTAATTATATTACATTTAATTTGTTGTAGTTGTAGCTTTTAAATTTAAATAATAAATTATGTTTAACCCTATAGTCATTTGGCCCTCGGTTGGAGATGAGTTTTTTTTCACAGGGCTATGTTTGGCCTATAGCCGTCTGGCTCCTCAGTTGGAAATGGTAAGAAATATGACCCTGCACTGTTTATTAAAATATTAATTTCTTGGAGGGTCAGAGGCCTAAAACGAACCCTCTCCTTCAATTGGAGATGGCCTAAGAACCCAATGAATATGCGTGGCAAAGAATTGAGATGGCCCCTAAATTCACAACCCCTCAAATTCCCAAAGGGTAATCTAAAATCCCAAAATCTAGAGAACAACACCCAAAAACTAGCAGAGTCCTCCGCCATGGAATTGGATACTCTCTTAAGCACAAGCTCAAGATCCTCCTAACTAGCCCATATGAGTCGTTGGATTTTGATCCAACGGTTACAATTATTATGATTTTTAAAGAGATCCCCTGTTTGTAACCATTGGATCAAAATCTAACGGCTCACGTGTAATGGTCAGGAGGATCCTGAGCTCATGCTCTAGAGAGGATCTAATTCCCTCCGCCATGGTCAACATGATTATGGCTTCCTCCAAAGTCCCCATCTCCTCTTCCCCTTCTTCCCCAATCCCAAAACCCAAAATCCCATTCCAAATCTCCATCCCCAAAATCCCATCAAACCTCCAGAAGCTCACAAAGCCCCAGTTGGTATCCCTCTCCTTCTCCCTTTCCGCCATCGTCGCTGCCTCGTTGGCCTTGGCGCCACCTTCCCTGGCAAAGAAGTTCGAGAAGGGGGCTTTGTTCGACTTCAACCTCACCCTCCCCATCCAGATAGTGCAGTTCCTACTGCTGATGGTGGCGCTGGACAAGCTCTACTACAGCCTACTAGGGAAGTTCAGAGACGAGAGGGACTCGGCCATCAGGGAGAAGCTGGGGAGCGTGAAGGACAAGTTGGAGGAGGTGAAGCAACTTGAGGAGCAAGGCACTGCCATCAAGAGGGTGGAGATATCGATGGCGTTGATGAAGATAAAGAAAGAGACGTAGGGGGAGGTGGAGGAGAAATTGGCGGAAGGGAGGAAGAAGGTGGAGGTAGAGCCGCAAGAGGTGTTGGCAAAGTTGGAGGAGCAAAAGGAGAAGACCATGAAGGCGCTGGACTTTCAGATTGCCAACCTTAGTGTCCAGATTATTAAGAAGGTCCTTCCTCTCTGAGTAATTTATCAAGGCAAACGGGTAGATGGGCAAATGGGGAATTGGATTACTGTGTCTATGATTATTTAATGTAATATTATTTATATGTTAAATGAATGAAATGACTGTGATTTCTTTGTTGTTCTGGTTCAAGATTTTGTAATTAAGGACAGAAATGATCCATGGGATTTGTGTCAACTAGCAGTTCTAGATGTGACGGTGGAAACGAACTCGTTTCATGTAAGTTTGTCTCGGATGAGTTGGGTGAGCAAAATAGAATAATAATAGTGATAGAACTTCTTGTTATTAACATGTACAAATTAAATAAAATTATTTGTAAACCAATACCTGAAAAACCATGATAGAGCTGAGTAGGTGTTTATGTTGGTGCACTTCATTCTACTTTGCAGCAACAAGTTTCATTTGCCCAATTGTAGACTAGTATTGCAAGTAGTGGATTCTCGTAGTCATCAAGATTCTTTTCTATCACTCATTTCGTCAATGCGTCCCAAAAGCAAGATGTATCGCTATAGATTTCAACCTTTTTGTAGCCCAAAATGGAACAGGGCTTTGGTACAAGAGCAATATGTACCTTTGGGTTTTATCTTTGCATGTGATTTGTTGGGATTTTCTTGAGTACTTAGGGATATCGAATATTTTGGATGTCTTAACCATTGATCTTTATTTAAAAATATAAAAATTAAGATTTAACAGTTAAAACATTCAGAGCATCCGATATTCCAGAGTACTCAAGAATTTTTGGATTTGCATTCTTACAAATGCCAAGGTGTGAATTTTCTCTGCACCCGAGTTCTTCATTTCTATTCACCCTCTCTCATTACCACTTTTATCTAGGAAAAATTAACCTAATAAAAAAATAACCCTTCTCCACTATATCTATTCACCAATGTATTGTGCGCACATGTCAAAATCTTATTTGTTAAATAAATAAGGTAGAGAATGAGCTTAGTTATATAAATGATGTGGTGGCAATTGGATGAATTGTCTGGGTGGATTTAACCCAGTACAAACTATGAACATTCCTTCGTTATAGATTAAAGCAGTAACATTTTTGTTAATCTAATGGTAAGGTAAATGTGAAACTCAGTTGCATCAACAACAAACCTTGATTATCCTTAGCATCATCCATGTGTAATGTGACAGATTTAGCTAACAACATACAATTGTTTTGACAACTCGCATGACGAGGGAAATACTCTAAAATGGGACATAAATAGGACGAATTGGCCATGCACACCATGCACAAAACCAAAATTACTAAAATACCCACATATAAATATGTTATTCCTTCCATTTTTTTATTTTTCTCTCACTATACTCTCTCTCCCTTCCTCTCTCTTCTCTCACTTTCTCTCTCTACTCTCTCTCCCTTCCCCATACCTCTGAGCTCAGATTTCGAAGAGATAGAAGTCCAAAGAGAGGTGAGAAGAGTGAGTTGGGCTTTGGGTTCATCTCATACCTTTGATTTTCGAACAAAGGGATGTGAGAGAGAGAGGTGAGAAGAGTGAGTTGGGTTTTGTACCATATTTTCTGTTTTGGCCTAAAAGTTCCATTTTTTTCGACAACTGAAGCTTTGGCAGGCATAGTAAGGTAGGGTGTTTGGTTCCAAGTTCCTTCATCAATGATTTATGGAATAACTGGGTTGTTTGTAAGATGAATGAATACTTAGAAGTTAAATTAGGGTTTGTGTTTCATGTTGGCGGGTATGGTTTGTCGTATAAATTTCAAGTTTTGACGTGCTACAAGACTGGGATAAAACAATTTCTAGTTCAAGTGTTCAATTGCAGAAATTTGTGAAAATTTGTCTGTAATGTGCATGTGGTGTGCATGGCTACATCTTAATATGAGAAGTGGGAATGTTCACTAGTTATGATGCACCTATGGTGTGCCCCAGAATTTAGCGAGCATGGCCACAACCTAATTGGCATTGGTGAAAAACAAAATTAAGAAAAAAACTTAGAGGACGTTAAGGTTCATGCGTGTCCGTGAAATAACAATAACGAGTATCATGTTTTCCACGTGCACGTTTAAGCGGTGGCTGATATATGTAACAAGACTTTTCAAACTGTCACTATAACCTTATATACATAACAATTATGGTTTAATTGTATCCACTATACCAATATGTTTCCGTTAAAGTTTCTCTCGTTCTGTGCATATCATGTGCATGTACTGTACATATTATGTGCATGTGGTTGCATATAGTGTATTATGTGTAGATGGTGCGTATTTTCATCTTTAATACTCTTCGTATTAACGTAGTTTACTACTTTTTCCTTTAATTCAGAGGCAGGCCCTGCAAATACGAAAAAACAATTTCCTTTGATTCATTTGGGTTCTTTCATGCCTATTGAAACTGCAATTTTTTCAAATCCTTGAAATATTTGAACCCAATCAAATTTGATACCAAATTCAAATTAATGAATCTTCGGTTCTTCATACAAAGTTTAGGGTCGTTTATCTAATGCATCATTTTTTTGATTTCGAAGACTTAGCTGTGAGCTATGAGTTTTTAGGTAGAGCTCAAATATGTGAGCATGACATGTGCATGTCCTATGCATGTCGTGTACATATAGTGTGTGAACAAGCTTAATATGAAGAAAGCATACAAGTACGCGAAACATTTCGTCCATATCATTCTCTCTTCCTTTTTTCCACTCTGATTTCTCTCTTTTCCCTCAATTTTTTTCTTCTCCAAATAGCAACTAACCTTTAATACATTTTTTCATTTAAGTGCAGTAAAAGCCAAACCCTATTTTAGTGCTTGTAAATTTGGATCGAGAAAGGGAGCAGAGGGAGGGAGAAGACAGAAGAAATGAGAACCCACATATAAATTAGAGAAATGATAAAAAAATCAAAAATAAAAAAAAATCAAAAATGAAGGATTTGGGTCTCCTCCAAGAAACACAAAATCAATCACTTCAATTCCAAAAATTCATCAATCAAAAAGCAAAATTAAGCAAACCCAGTTCACGAAACCTACAAATGAAAAGGTAAAAATCGAGGTTAGAAAGAGAGCTCTTATGAATATTTGAAATGTAGAGAGAGAGAGAGAGAGAGAGAGAGAGAGAGCTTGGATGAAGAATGAGAGCTAGAATTTCTTTATAACCCATTTATATGGGAGGACAATTTGGTCATTTCAAGGTGTAGGAAAAATCATATTTCTGGCCGATTGTTGTGCATGCTGTGTGCATATTCGAAATGTCCTATTTATGTCCCAAGATTAAGAAGTTGTTCTATTTCTGGGTATTTCCCTATATTTTATCAAGAAAGAGATTTATTAAAATTTGAAACCTTGAATAGAACTGTTTCCCATACAATCAAATTTAAAGGTTCGCTACAGTATGGTCAAAGTGATCTAAAGTGCTAGTCACAAAGTTTGCTTCCTTAAAGATATGGTTCCACCTAATGCAATGAAATTTAGAAGCCAGCCATCTAATATAATCCGCAATCGACTTAAGATGCCAAGGAGTATCCCAAGTGCCTTACACAGCTTGAATCACAAGCATGGAGTCCCCTTCCACCATTATGTTCTTGAAACCTTTGCATATGGCGTATAAATGCCTTCTTTTAAAGAAATGGTCTCCACAAGAGAGATAGTGGCGCCATCTAGATTAAAAGCACTTGCATTGAATGGTTGCCCCTCCTCATTCCTTATAACAAAAGCAGCAAACGCTTCTTCCAAACTGACAAAACCATCAAAGTTTAATTTAATAAAACTTGGATGAGGGGGTTGCCATCTAATGAGATGCGGGGTACAAGTTCTAACCCCAAAATTTTATTTACAATTAACCTTGAAGTACGACAAACCTACGTTTGCTGCAAATAATAAACTTTGAGTAGGGATATGAATTATACTCTTAAACACTTTATTATTTCTATTATTCCAAATTTGATAGCAGTTAAGAAGAGCTTTACTTAAGTGACTCAAACTATTGTCCTCAGACGAGATTAAAGTTTTCATTCAATTTATAACTTTGTCAAATTGCACTGAATTATTATTCCATAGACTCACAGGAGAAAGATTCCAGACCATATTTGCATAATGACATTTAAGGAACAAATGATTTTGATTTTCATCATATTGCCACATAGAGGGCAAATTTTATCAATATCCGGAACAAATATACTCATACGACTCCTGGTGTGTAACTTTTCATGTATAAGGAGGCATGCAAAAATTTTAACCTTGGGGGAATCATCAACTTCCACAATTTCTTTAGCAACTTATGTCTATATTACATCCTGATGATTAGGGCTCTGGATCCAAGTTGCCGACTTAATCGAGAACTTTCCATTAGCTGAAGGACCCCAAACAAAATAATCACTTTCTATTTTGAATAGGAATATGGATAATACCTATCTTCCTAACAATATCTAAATCCAACACTTCAGAAAGATGAGTTCTATCCCAACAATTGTTAACAATGGAATCACTAACTCTAGCTTCTCAATTCAAAGTTGCCTGTTGATTCTCTGGACAAGATGGAACAATGGGTAAGGAAAAACCCATTGATGGGTCTAGAATAGAATATCCTTACCATACCCACAATCCACCTCATACCCTTGTAAATAATATCCATACTCTTAAGAATGCCTTTCCAGGCCAGAGAATATTTTGCGTAACTTTATAACTCAGGAAATTCTATTTCCTTAAATATTTTATTTTGACAATTTGAACCCACCGATTATTCTCATTAGTCAAAACTTTTCAACTTAATTTGGCTAGACACGCATTATTAAAGTGATCAAACTCTCCTAACACCAAGCCCTCCATGCTCCTTTGAGGTACAAACTTTCTTCCAAGCAGTTGCCTTTAATTTCTTATCTCTTCCCAGAAAAAGTCCATACATTCTTTATTTATCTTTTCAGTTACTTGATCAGGACATTTGAAACACGACATTATATGATAAGGCATACCAATCAAATTTGACTTAATAATGGTTAATCTTCCTCCCTTAAAGACAGTATTAACCTTCCATCCAACAAGCTTTTGTTTAATCCTTTTAATTAACGCACACTCATTTAAGGGATTTTTCCAGAACACAATATTAGAATACCTAGGTTGGTAGTTAATAGACAAATGGGTAAATGGAATTAACCACAGTAAAACATTTTCACCATCATTGTCACTTTCAAAATTTCACTGTTGTCTCAAAAAATCTCAGGGAATATCCCTCTGCAATCTTCCATATATTGCGAACACTCATTCTAAGCATGTGAGCTCGTACATTAGCACATTTAACCGTTGGAGGTGAGAGAGAGATAGACACATTTCTAATCCATTACATATTACTTTGAGATTAAGACACTTGTCCAATGTTAAGTCCTATGAGACTTAACCAACACATAAACTCAGCCTATGAGTTGAGGCATAACACAAATGTAAACTTATAATCTTCACTAATCAGTTCATTAATTTGCACATTAACACTCTCCTTTAAATTGTCGACTGATTTCATTCCAAGAAGATCTCTAAGATATGTGTATTTCTCCCTTGCCAATGCCTTTGTAAAAATGTTAGCAACTTGCTCTTTTGTAGGATAGTGAATGCTGCAATGCCTCCTTGATGAAATGATACCTTCTATTGATATGCTTGGTTTTTTGATGAAATATAAGATTTTTAGTAATAACAATAGCTAAAGTGTTGTCACAGTTCAGTGGTGTTGCAATAGATTGCATTTCACCAAAATCTTCCAACACAAATCTTAACCAAGTGGCTTGTGTAGTTACCTCTGATGCACTGATATACTCTGCTTCAGCTGTGGATAAGGCAACACATTGTTGTAGTTTGACAGAATCCCAAGAAAAGAAACCATTGCCAAATGTAAAAGCATAACCAAATGTGCTATTCATATCTTCTTCTGAACCACTCTAATCACTATCACAAAAGCTTTTCAGAATTGCCCCTTTACCTTTCTTGTACTCTAAACCAAAATTCAGAGCTCCCTGAACATATCTAAGTACCCTATTTGTTATCCCATAGTGCGTGTTAGAAGGAAAATGCATGAACCTTGCTAACAGACATGCAACATACATTATATCAGGCCTTGTTACTGTGAGATACAACAAGCTTCCCACAATTTTCCTGTATTAAGATTCATTTGCAGCTCCACTGTCATCATCCTTTCTTAGTTTGTCATTTGGTACAAGTGGGATGCTCACATGTTTACAATCCTGGAGTCCAAACTTCTTCAATAGAGTTAATGCATACTTCCTTTGATGTATGAAGATACAGTCTTCAGTTTGCATAGCCCCCATTCCCAGAAAATGATGCAACAAGCCAAAATCTGTCATTTCATGCTTATGCATCATATCAATCTTGAATTCCTCCATTAGCTCCTGAGAGCTTTCAATATAGACTATATCATCAACATATATAAACACAATGATCAAATCTGAGTCTCCTCTGCACTTAGTATATAATGTTGCCTCATTGGTACTTCTTTTGAAACCATAGTGCGCAAGATAGGAATCTATCTCTCCATACCAGGCTCTAAGTGTATGCTTCAAACCATATAAAGCCTTGTGCAATTACACCTTATCCTCATTTCCTTGCACAATGAATCCATCTGGCTGATCTACATACACCTCATCTTCAAGTACCCCATTTAAGAAAGCCGATTTCACATCCAATTGAAACAACTTCCAATTGTTCTTTGCAGCCAGTGCAATAAGGGTTCTTATGATATCCAACCTTGCCACGGGTGCAAGTGTTTCATTATAGTTTACCCTAGGCTTTTGTGCATAGCCTTTTGCAACTAGCCTAGCCTTATTCTTTTGAACCGAGCCATCTAATTTCAACTTAGTTTTATAAACCCAGTTTACCCCAATCACAAGCTTATCAAATGGTCTCCTTACCAATTCCCATGTCTGGTTCTTCTCAATCATGCTCATTTCATCTTCCATTGCCTTTTTCCATGCCTCATCCTATGTAGCTTCATTAAAATCTTCGAGTTCAACAGTGCACAAATGACATCTCTCATAAATTTCACTCAAGTTTCTATACCTTAGTGGAGTATGATCATACTGAGATGAAGAACTTGAACTGCGTGGTTCACCAGAGACTGTAGCTGGAGAGTCTTCAATTTGGACTTGAGAACATCTAGATACAACATCATCATTAACTCCATTCATCTCCAAAGATTCATTTGCAGATAGTGGAATGCATACTTCTTTAACTTTGTGCTTCTCCCAACCCCATTTACCATTCTCATTGAAGACTACATCCCTAGAGAGCAAAACCTTTTGAGTTGCAAAATTCAGCACCCTATACCCCTTCTCACAGGCACCATATCTAATGAAAACACCTACGACACTTGTTTCTTCTAATTTGTGCCTCAAATTTCCTGGAATGAGAGAGTAACACATTGAACTAAACACTTTTAGGTGTTTAATCCCCATTTTCTTCCACTGAATTTCTCAAAAGGTGTAATGTTCTCCAAAGCCTTTGTAGGACTTCTGTTTAGCAGATACACAGATGTGTTCACTGCTTCATACCAGAGATTGTAAGGAAGTTCTTTCTCATAAAATCATACATTTTGCCATCTCCACAACAATCATGTTTTTCCTTTCTGCAACTCCATTATGTTGTGGAGAATATGCAACAGTGAGTTGTCTTTCTATCCCCAGGTCTTCACAGAACTTCCCAAAATCATTTGAAGTGAACTCTTCTCCCCTATCTTTTCTCAACCTCTTCACAGAGTATCCACATTGAAGCTCTACTATAGCTTTAAACTTCTTAAACACATGGAAGGCAACTGATTTGTTTCTTAAAAAATAGACCAGCACATCCTTGAATAATCATCTATGAAAGTAAAGAAGTACCTGTTTCCATTTAAACTTGGTGTTTGCAGAAGACCACACACATCTGAGTGTATTAATTCTAGTGGCTCTTTTGCTCTCCACTTTGACTCCTTGGGAAATGACTCCCTGTGATTCTTCCCCAGTGCACACCCTTGACACACTGCATCACTATCTTGAATTTCAGGTAGCCCCAATATCATTCTTTGACTCTGTAATAGCTTGAGACTCTTGAAATTTAGGTGACCAAACCTCTTGTGCCATATCTTTGCACACTCTTACATATTTGTTCACAATGCAAGCTTTGTTTGTGCTAAGGATTAAGGGAAAACACCTATTCCCTTTTTGTTTCACATTGACCACCAAGTTTCTTAGAGATTTGTCATCAAACACATCCACCTTATAATCTACAAATAGAAGAAAGTAACCATGCTCAGTCATCTGTCCTACACTTAGCAAATTCTCTACAAGACCAGATACAAGCATAACTTCCTTTATATATCTCCTACCCTTCATTGTTTCAATGATCAGTGTCCTTTTTCCTGCCACTTCAACCAAGGCTCCAATGCCTACTTGGACTTTGGCTTTCACCCTTCTGTCAATGTCAACAAGCAAATTTTCCTTGGATGTCATATGATTACTACATCCACTATCTATGTACAATTCATCGCTTATTTTCCTTACTTCTTTAGAATGATTAGCATATAATAGGTTTCCAGTTTCTTCAACCTGATTAGCAAAATTCACTTGTTGCATAGCCTTGTTTGCATTATAGTATCTTGCAGTACGCCCAATTTTGCTACACTTATGACACTTGACCTTGTTCTTAACCCAACACTCCTCATAGTGAAGTCTATCATAGAATTCACCTTTATCCCCGGTGTTATGTGCATCATTCTTCACAGGGAAACTAGCCTTATTACCCCAATCAGCCTTGTTACTCCATTGTTTCCTTTTTGGCCTAAAGTTTTTTTGGTATTTGCCATTGTTTGTTTGACCATTAAACCTATTTGATTTTGATGCAATGTTCAAACTAGCAAATGCTTTCTCCATACTACCCTCACCATGTTTATCAAGCCTTTGTTCATAACCCTTCAAAATTGCAACAACATCCTGAGCATCTATGGTATCCAAATCCTTAGTATTTTCTACCACAGCTGCAATACTATCATAGGATTTAGGCAAGCTAATCAGCAATTTTTGAAAAATTCTTTGATTACTCAGATCTTCACCATAACTTCTCATTTGATTAATCAGATCGAACAATTTAGCAATATACATAGAGAGCGATTCACTGTCATTCATATGAATATATTCAAAATCTCGTCTAAGACCTTGAAGTTTCATAGATCGTACTTGCTTATCACCAACGAATTCTTGTTTTAGAATGTCCCACGCAACCTTTGCACTTTCCTGGGTTGCGATTCTTGGAAAAATTTGATCTGAAACAGCACCTTGGATGATTCCAAGTGCTCTAGCATCCTTGACCACATTCTCACGCATTAGCTTCTTTTCTGCCCCCGTGAGCTCCTCCTCCTTCTTCATTGGAGTTTCATACCCATTTTCAACCAGATCCCACAGTTCGTGTGAACAGAAAATGATCTTCATTTTGATTTGCCAGAAATCAAAATTTTTGCCATTAAAGACTGGCGCTCTGAATTATCCTCCTCCAGATCCAGCTATGTTAAACTCGATCGCTGATATGAACTCGAATCACTGAAATGAGCTTTTGCTGTGAATCCAAGCTCACCCTCTCACAAACATGACGCCTAGAAATTCAGACCCAACCTAGCTCTGAGGCCATGTTAGAGGATTCAAATTAAACATAAATTCTAGCATTGGTTAAGGAAGAGAATCTAAGAGAATTTGAGGAAGAAGAAGAGAAGAATTTGAGTCAGAAAATCTCAAGGAATATCCCTCTGCAATCTTCCATATATTGCGGACACTCACTCTGAGCATGTGAGCTCATACATTAGCACATTTAACTGTTGGAGGTGAGAGAGAGATGGACACATTTCTAAATTCAATCTCAGACATCCATTACATCTTACTTTGAGATTAAGACACTTGTCCAATGTTAAGCCCTATGAGACTTAACCTTACATTTTAACACACAAACTCAGCCTATGAGCTGAGGCATAACACAAACGTAAACTTATAATCTTCACTAATCAGTTCATCAATTTACACACTAATAGACTGAACGGGTCGTCGGATTAGAACAATGAAGGAAAAATCAAGCAGCGTTAGTTACACTGAGTGGTTCCTTTCAAAGGATCAACTGCAAGTGGGTGACACGGTGCGTTCCAGAAAGCTGCCTAACTCCTGTAAACCTGAAAACATGCATATTCCCGAAGGCAAAATAGTGGGTGCCGAATGTGACACAGACCAACATGGGTTTGTTTTGGTGAGAGTCCATGGCATCCATGACCTACTGAGGGTTCATGTTTCAACACTGGAACGGATAACTTTTGGCTTGGCAACTGGTGATTGGGTGCGCTTGCAGAAAGAATATAAGAAACACTCACCAGTAGGTATTCTTCATTCCATCACTCGTGATGGTAATGTAGCTGTTGGATTTATAGGGTTGGAAACTCTCTGGACAGGGAATTCTTCAGAGTTTCAGATGGCAGAATCCTACTGTGTCGGTCAGTTTGTCAGGCTGAAAGCTAATGTATTGAGCCCTTGATTTGATTGGCCTCGTAAGAGGAGAGGGACGTGGGCTACTGGGAAAATATCATGGATCCTACCAAATGGGTGCCTTGTTGTCTAGTTCCCGGGAATGCTGACCTTTAGGGAAGACAACTCGACCTTTGTAGCTAATCCTGCTGAAGTGGAATTGGCTACGTTTGATAGTTGTCCAGTAATCGTGAAGAAGTATACCAGCATCTTTGAGGATTTTCATCTGGCAGTGAGACCACTTTTGGGTGCATTGGGCATATCTACAGCCATGAAACCAGGCATTTTCGTTGGAACAAAGATGGGGAGGTCCAGGGTGAAGAAACGACAGAGCATCCTTTTCAGCATACCGATGGTCAGAATACTGGAAACCCGGCATGGATTCCTCCTAATATGAAAAGTATCCTTTTCAGATAAGTCGTTACCACCGGTCCTGCTCGGTAGTTTAATGCACAGTTCACCAGCCCATAACTAGTTAAGTTTAACCATACATATGTGCAGTAACTAGTTTGTTGGGTAGCACTAGGGCATTTTACTGGTTTGACGCTGGAGAACAGCAGTACAAACCAGATCACTGTCGAAGTTAGGGCAAAAATATTCGCTTTTTATGTATGCAAAAATGTATATATGTTAATTGGATCATCCGCGTTGATCAACTGTATTGAATTCTACTTTTATGCCTAATCGGATAAATTGACACACCCCGTCCCGAAGGAGGGCATGCTGGCCGTCACGTGAGAGTGACGTAACCATTTACACAGTTCGGAAGCTTTAAAATATACAACTTCTAAGATAAACCACCCGAAGGTGAGTCCTCATTTGGTCCATTCTGTCAGAACACCGTTGAATTTCCTCGTAGTCACCACACCTTTGCAATTCTTGAACCTGGAGGGGCGCAAAACCAAAATTGAGTGGGTCAGTAAAACAAATCTTTTCCAAATCCAAACACTTCTCAAAACTTTGTAACCCCTCTCCGTAAAACTTGTATACTTTCCCAGAAATAAAGTATATACTCATATATGTAATATATCTCAAATTATGCTAGACAATATGAATGTATGTCATGCCAAGTATCATAACAGAATGCTCATCATCTCTATGTGAATATGATGGAATAACATATAATCAATTCAACATTCGGCTATAAACATAGTTCATCCTCTTTCATTCTAATCAACTCAGCCCTCGGCTGCATATATAACTCATAATTAACTCATCATAATCAACTCAGTCAGCGACTGCATATATAGCTCATAATCAACTCATCACATCAACAACATAACATCTGGCAGCCGGAGTCACCTAACGTGACCTGTACGGCTGCATATAGAGCTCAAATCATACTCACAATAACTAAACAACTGAACCTGCCCACGAGTCGGAACCACCTAATGTGGTCTGTACGACAGGCCTGGGTGTTACGTATATATACGTTCTAGTGCTACGATCACGTAAGACTGGGCGAATAATCGCACGTCACCTACGAGTCGGAACCACCTCTTGTGGTCTGTACGACAGGCTATGCACCTAGCTTGGATCCAAGCTGAGCATAAGGTGCGGGGAGGTGAACATCATGTGAAGGACTGGCCCTGCTCAGGGCGAGCACTAACACCGGGGATCAGGTTATGAGCTCTCTAAGCATCTCAAGCTACTCATTCTTCATATCTCAATCGTATTTCAATCATATCACAATCATATTTCAATTATATCACAAACATATCTCGATCATGTCAAAATCGCATCTCAATCATATCACACTCATATTTCATTTGTATTTCCATAGTATTTCAATCGTATACCAAACGTATTTCATGCGTATATCGAATGTATTTCATACGTATATCAAATGTAGCTTACCTGGGCCTCCTCAGCACCATGCAACAGTATGCATAATTATGGTAATGCACATATTAAAATATGATGCATGTATGACAGGATATTTAATTCGTATTTCTTTTAAAATACGTTTTCTGGGAAATACGTCAAGTATATATATATGGAAAACAAAACTGCCCACTCACAGATCACATCGACGTCTCGTAGGTCCCTGAGCCTCCCCTAGATTGGTTACATTCTTCTTCTGTATAATTTTCACCTATACAAAAAGTAACCAAATTATCGTTATTTAACGCGCATACACCAAACATTCGTCAATAACTTTCTCATACGTTGCTCAATTTGGGTGTATGAATATACCACGGTGATCTACACGACGTCACGAACGCGTGACAATTTTTAGAACTCAATTCGGACCACGCACGCGCCCCCACGCGCCCCGTCTACGCGCTGCCCACGCGCGCGTCTTCTTCCTCGCGTCGCCGGACTGGTTTCGCCGGAGTTGGTGTTTTGCCGGAATTTCTGGGTAAATTTCAAAGTGTCATAACTTCTTCATTTCTTAACCATTTTCGACGTACTATATATCAAAATGAAGGTATTGACGAGACGAACACATCCATACCTGCCTCGACCCCTAACTCGCCGTGGATTCGCCGGAAAAAGCCTCGAAAGCTCCGGCCAACTTTGACCACAATGATCCCGACGTCCAAACTTCTCCAACGAAGTATTCCGAGGCTCCTTGGGACCTCACTAAGACATCTACAAGCTTAAAAATCCCAAAAACACGCTAGTGTAAGTTTGCATGAATAGTACCTAAATCGGACTACCTCGAATCGACATGAAAACGAAGGATTTCTCACCTGAAAATGGTATGGTTGCACTCGTACGAGCTTCACGAGTCCAAAAATGCCCTTGGTTCCTTCGATCCATCAAGGTTTGGGTGATGTGTGTGTTGTCCGTACGTTTTCAGAAGGAAGAAGAAGAAATGGGAGCTCGGGAGAGAGAGAGAGAGAAAAGTGACAGAAAAGAGACAGAGGGAGAGGAAAACACGGGAGAGTGAGAGACAGTGTGTGTGAGTGTGTGTGTGTGGTCCAACACATGCCACACCACACAACCAACACTAAACGTAAATGTAACGAACTAGGGGTAAAAAGGTAAATTCACACATACGTTTTTATAATCTCGGGACGGGATGTCACAACCTACCCACCTTAATAGAATTTCGTCCCGAAATTCAAAACAACCAACTAAATCATCTAAACTCATACAATAGCTTCGGATAAATCTCTCTCATCCGATTCTCCTTCTCCCACGTAATTTCTTCCACTAAATGCTTTCTTCACAAATTCCTTACCAATTACACTGTCTTAATTCTCAATAGTTGCACCGAAACTCCATGTGACGAATCTGCCACCTAGTGACAACGCATCGAAATATAATACATTATGCACCTTAGTCAATTCTGAAGACATCACCACTTGTATGCAACTTCACCTACTCTTCGATGATCACATAAAGTCCGAGGTACTTAGGACTTAATTTGCTTTCCTTTCCAAGCCGAATCATACTTTTCTAAAGTGAAAACTTCAAAATTATAAGATCACCTGAATACTTTGAGAAGACTCATCCATAAAACATATAAGTACTGTTGCACTGTGGTCGTTACTCAACACTGGGGTAAATGTACTAACTTGGTACATTGATCAACCATCACTTCAAGTTCAATCATAACCATCCTATTCTCGAACTCAGCAATCTTTCTTTTTCCCTTCTTTCTTTGCCTTGGTTAATTCTAAATTTTCTTCGTTAACCATTTGAGTCTTGAGTACGACCTTACTAAAAAGACTTAACTTGGAAATTAACAATTACAACTTCTTCTCAATTTTCCATTCTCAACCTTACTTCAGTTGATTTCCAACCCACAAGAAGACAATCTTGGCAAGCGTGCCAGACATTAATTCTTACCGCAGTCTTTTCACCAAGTGCATAAGCTAAAACAATTTTACGATCACCCTGGTCGTATAATCATGTTCATTAAACAATTCAATCCACCTTCGCTGCCTCATATCAAAATCCTTCCAAGTAATGGATATTGGAGACTTTTTGGATTCATAAAAATCTTGCATTCTTACCAAATATAATGTCTTCATAACTTCACAGCAAGAATGGTAATCATGACTTCCAAATCACCAGTAGGGTAATTCATTTCATAAGGTTCCTTTTGTCGTGAAACGTATGTAATCACCCTAACATTTGCATCAACATGCATCCAATACTATTCAAGAAACATCACTAAAATTTTATGATTACCACTATTCTCTGGGAATACTAAAATACGTGCATGAGTGAGGAATACTTCAACTGTTGAAACCTTTACTCATAATTATCCTCCCACTCAAACTTAACCTCTTTTCTTGTCAATGGCAAGACAATGACTGAAAAATCTTTCACGAATCGTCCATGATAGCTTGTTAAGCTAGGATAACTCCGAATCCCAATCACGATTCGTGGTTGTTCTAAATTCTCAATTTCTACTACCTTTTAAGAATTCACTTGAATACCTGAAGCAGATATAACATATCTCAAAAATGCTACTTGATTCATCCAACATTGGCATTTGCTAAACTTAGCATACTATCGACGTTCCTTCGATCTGTGCAATACCAATTTAAGATGTTTAGCATACTTTGCTCTAGTCTTATCAATCTTTTCAATAGCAACAACAACAAATCGGTCTAGATATCATTGGAATACTTCATTCATCAAATTCATAAAGTAGTAGATGCATTCGTCACTCCGAATGGCATCACCAAACTTGAAATGACCTTAACGAGTCCTGAAAGTTATCATAAGGACATCCTCACCGATAATCTTCAACTAATAATATCCAGACCTCAAGTCAATCTTAGAAAATATACAAATACCTCTGAGCTGATTCATTAAACATCAGTACACCATCATGGATAACGGTTCTCAATCGTTACCTGATTCCATGGTCTATATCAATGGATAGTCTTTAAAGTCCATTTTCTTTTTCACCAACGAACTGGGCTCCTCCCAAGTGTTGTATTAGGTTGAATGAAACTTTTATCAACCAATTCTTTCAACTAAATTTCCAATTCTCTTAACTCATCATGAACTAATCTCTAACATAAAATTTTATACCTGGAAACAAATCGATATTGATCTTCACATTTCTGCCTAAAGGCAATCCAGGTAAACTCTCAGGGAAAACGTCAGGTAAATGTTTGACTCTTCCCACTTCTTCCACAGTACTAGAAGTGACATTATTTAGTACCACATGAGATAAGTATCCTTGGCAGCCTTTTGATAATAATCTCTTTGCTCTCCCAGCATAAATAACGGCCTGCCTTACTCCACTTTGCATACTTACAAAAGTAATCTCTAGTCATCCAGACTGATGGAAAATAACTGGTTTCCCGTAGTAATCTATCTTGTCACGATTATAAAGTAACCAATCTATGTCTAGAATAACATCAAAATCCACAATCTAGTGGAACAAAAGTAGCTGGCAACAATACATACTCTGCTATTACTGAG